TAACTTGCACAATTGGTGGCTGACTAAATACTTTTTTGCCCCACTGTATTACCCAACAAATTAAGCTTCTACAGTGACCACTGTCTGTTAATAGTAAGAGAAATGGAAATAAAAATGAATTATGCAAAACAAAAAAAAATTGAGTTCGCAAACAAACCAGGGAAATGGCTGGCATACAAATTATGAAAAGAAAAAGAAAAGAAAATGATATTAAAATTACAAGAGGGAAATATTGTAATAATAGATAATATGAACATGCAAATTTTTTTTATCAAGATTATTGTAATTTATAAAGAGGACAAGAAATTTCCCTGAAGAAAATGGATGAATATTTAAAGAAACAAAATTTACTGAAGATTACAGAGAAACAGAAACAGATCATGAACAGATAAGTGAAGTTTGTGAAGCTATAAATAAAACCGGAAAGGTGCCTGGATCAGATGGTTTACTGGTTTCTTATTACAAATATATTGAGGATGAACTCGTACAAACTTTACAAAATACAATGAATACTATTTTAGAGGGGAAAGATGCTGGACAGCTGGAAAGAGACTAATATAGCATTAATACCCAAAGAGGACCAAGATTTGACTTCAACAAGAAACTATCAGCCAATATTGTTATTGAATAATGATTATAAATTGTTTACAATGATTTTGGCCGAGAGGTTGAAAATAATTTTCCATCCGGGTCCCTTCTCCAATTTCATACCACTAGAACTTGTACAAGTGTCTAAGACCACCCCTTCAAGTCCCTAATTTTGCCTCAAATGCCACCTACAACTTGAGACAGGCTACATGAAAGTGGAGGATAGAGTGTGGCTGCTCATACTCAACTATTGTCTCTTTCTTCCCCCTTAGCCTTGCTCCACTAACAACGAGTGATGACTTCCAGTTGGTAGGGAAACAGACAGTGGCAGCTAAAATCTCATCCTTGAGCCTCTCTCCAGGGCTTCTACTCAGCATGTGATAGGATCAGGCCAAGCCCCTTACAAACAGTGCATAAGTGATATAAAGCACCTTCTGACCTAGCCAGTGCCCAGACTTTCTTGTTGCTGCATCTAACAGGTACTCCGCCTCCCTCCTGGCATACCTAATTAAGCTGGAAGTCCCTTAAGCACAGAAGGGCCTTCACTCTGGCCCAATGTCATGCCCTCCCCTCAGCTATCCTCGAGGGCTGATACAATGGAAAAGCAACGCCCCTCAACTCTGGAAACAGAACTTGTACTTTTCCAGTGCTCATACTACAAAGAGATTCACACTAGTCTCATCCTACCATCACTGTATTAATATCCAGGCGACACAGGACAATTTTACACCTCCCTGTTGCTTTCAGATATTAATCCTGTCACAACATAGAGTGTTGCCAGATTTTGTGCAGCAGCGCTCGAAATTTGTCAGATGATGGCCTCTGGCTTGTGCTTGGGACTCAGTACTATAGACTAGTGCATCTAGTTTGCCTTATCACTGTATAGTCTCTCACATACTATATACATAGATGTTCTACTTCTACTTTTCCCATCCCTTCTTTTTATATCTTATACCTTCTATGTCTCCTATATTTTTTTTTAACTTTTTATACTTGATGTAGGCTCTTGTATGCAACACCTTTTAGATTCTTTTTATATTTTTTATGGCTCATATATTAGCTTTTTATTCCACAATATGGCTCTTACATAAGTGTTTTACCTATTAAATTTTTTATGTTTCTACTGTACCCTATCCCCATATGCTGGTCTATAACTGTAATAAAGCTTTATTTGATTTGGTATATGGGAAAATGTAACTTGGAATGAAAAGGGAGTAAATGGTAAAGAGCATGAATAAAATGAGGGAGGGAGGAATCACTTTATATAATATTTGCAAAAATAAAAGTGAGTTGGAATAGTAATTAAGGTGTTGGACTAGGCACAGGGAGATCCAGGTTCTAGTCTTCCCTTAGACATGAAAAAAAGGTAACTTAGTGTGATCTGTTAGAAGAAATGATGTCTATTGAAAGAAAATAGCTGTGCATAGGAGCAAATTTCTGCCCACTTTGTTATATGGAAATGAGAGCTGGGTATGTTGTTACAGTAAGTTGAATGAACTGAGAATGGATGATTTAAGTATGTGTGGTAAAACAAGGAGAGACAGAGAAGGTTAAGAATGAATGATGCTAAATGAATGTGCATTGAATACAAAAACGAGTGACCAATATAAAAGGAGTTTGTTGAGATGGTTGGTCGTGTACAGAAAATGAATGAGGACTGAATTGTAAAACAGAGAAAGGAAGAATGAATGGGTTTAGGGGAAGGCAAAGTGAGAGAGGTAAGAATTTTAAACAATAGGCCATGTGTGTATTGTTGTATGGGCATGGTGGAACCAAGAATAGTTTGCAAGGAAAGAAAGATATGGAAGGGTATAGTGGATGGTATTGGTGTAAACTAAATTCAGTCATATTTCCTTTTCCCTTATTTCTTACTCCTTTTCTGTGTTTTTCACAATATTGTTGCTTATCCTGAAAGGAAGTAACATGATAAATATGTATGTATGTAGAATTAAGGTATCTCTGAACAGATTGTTAATAGAATTTATCACAACTGAGATTGCAGTCACATTATACAAAAATGTGGTTGATTCCCCCACTCCCATTTTTCCTTTCAGTAGTCTAGTTTATGGATGAAAAGAATATCGAGCATTTTTCTTTGTTGTCAAAGAATTGGGAATACAGAACTACTGGAAGTTATTCAGATGTACATAGAATCATAGAAGGAGCCATTTAGATTAGCAAGTTCAACCCTTGGCTCTGGGCATGGATGTCTATTTGCTTACCCATCCCCTAAAATATGCTTTGATATAGGCAGCAACTATTGATGTTTAAGTCTCATGGAAATGTTCATCTACTAAACTTTTGCTCATTCTAATTTATACTTTCACTTTTTGACACAAGGTGCCTTCAGGTGCCTAGTGTTATATAACTCCAGCTAAAAATATGTACAGACCACAGGAAAGTGGGCCATTAAGTATAGTTATTCATTTTTTGGTCAGAACTTGTTCTGCTGTATCTAAAATTAGATCCACATATTATTGGACAAAATTGTTACAAATTGAGGTTATTTCCTATTTTCTGCAATAACAAGACATGTGAAAACTACTTTCCAAATATTAAATCACAAATAAACCGTTTCTTATCACATGTATAAAAGCCACAGAAAGTGCAGATTTCTCTCTCCATTGTTTATTCTATTTTGGTACACACAAATATTATTTGTAATTGTGAATTGTGTTGTTAATCTTGAATCAACCAATTTGCTTTTTTTCCAAATTCCATCTAAGTTCTTACAGTTACAGGTCAAATGTTACTTTCAAAGAGCAGAAATGAGTGTTCATATATACTGTACTGCAAATATCAATTTTTCCAAACACAGTTCATAGGCTTTCAAAAGGTCCTTTATAAGCAATTTAAATCTTTTAAAATTCATCCCTAGAGAAAAAGAAACAATTGACTTATTACATCACACATTCATGCTTTTTTCCTAAAATCCAGTGCTAATACTTGGCTGTGAATGAAAAAATATTACCAAAGATGGATTTTAGTGTCATATAAGTAATCAGAATATAAGATTCTGAGTCATAAATTGATACTAAATCATGCTTTTCAGTTTTGGATTAAACAATTGTGATTAAAGGAAGCATAGGTAAGGAAGAATGGTGGGAGGGGCAAAGCAGGAACACTCAGTCCTTTGTTTATTTTCAGCTACTAAACTGATTTTGCCATTGTTAGTTTTAACTCAAAGTAATATACAGGAATAATTGTTAAATCTTGTCAGTTACAATATGCATAATAAAACCCTTTAGAACATCTATATTAAATTGAAGCATATGTAAATTCACATTTACAAATACACCTGCAATCCAGTCACATGCATGCTTTTGGGATAGCAAGTTCCATGAAGCTTAATAGGACTCAACTTGCAGGTTTGCATGTATTCATAGCATTAAATGTTGGAAAACTAAAACAGTAACAAGTTGCAAAGAGGTTCTCAAATTTTTGAACAGTGATTTTGGCAAAATTATAATGAATTCAAACTCTGTTTGAGGTTTCATTTTATTTTCTAAGATATTCATTCCTTGTCTGCTTAAGAGAAGACAATTCTAGTTTGTATAGTGGTTTCATTACAGAGATACTGCTCTCATATTAGTATCTTTACTTTGCCTAGCAAAAGCCAATTAGGACAGAAATTATTTTCACTACTCTGAGGTAACTTTAAAAAAGATAAAAATGTATTAATATTTTACTGAGGCCACTGTTTTTCTTTGTCTGTCAGAGGAACATATATCACACCCATCAGATGCTTTTCCACAATCTGACCATCTTTAGTTTTGTCAAACTGCATCATAACCTGGTTTCCACCCTCTGGCCCTACTGGCAAAATCAGTCGTCCTCCAGGTTTCAGCTCATTCAGCAACTGGTAATACAGAAAAATAATCGGTAAACGTGGTAAGGCAGATTAAAGAAAAAATTAAGCTAAACATTGAGCATCTTAGGAGGCGTAGCAAAAATAGAGTATTGCTTGAGAATCAGGAACTTTGTTATTTATTTCTAACTCAAATTGCTCTACATGATACTTTGCCCCTGAAAAGTTCTATGGTAGATGCCTAACAAGTATAGCATTTAGTTTGCTTTGTTAAAACATGAAAGCTTAAATCTCAAAATGTAAGGAAAGAATTTATGAGAAGCCTCTATATATGAAGCATTCTTTCTGAGTTTATTCTATCTAGGACTAATCTTCCAACACGGGATTTTTAAGGTTAGAAAACAGCAGACACAATTATTGTTTGCTATACGTGGTAAGGCAGATAAGCAAACTTATACATTTGCTATTGTTTGCTAACAGAGACCCTTCTGTTTCCTACCTCCTTTGGTACAGTGGGTGCAGCTGCTCCAACATGGATGGCATCATAAGGGGCTTCTTCAGGATACCCCTTCCTACCATCACCAACTGTGGAGGGAGAATATGGGCAGTGAAGGTTTTATAAGAGGAAGAAAATGATTATTTTTTCATGTGCAATCCATTTTTTAATGAAACCTACAGGTGGCTAAAAATACAGTATCTAATTCAAAATAGAGAAACTATGTATAATACAAAAACACAAAAACAGCAGAGCAAAATTACAGATAAAGAACAAGATGTACACAAACTGATTAATCATTAGGGCCAGGCCTCATTTACCACAAAGACTTTCTGGGGAAAAAAAAGTCTGTTTTGAAATAGAAGCATCACATTATGGATACGGAGAAAAGGTTCCATTATGGAGAAAAGGTTCCATTCATTATTATTTAGTCTCTTTAGTCTTCATTAAGAAGGAACTCCAAGAAGGATCCAATAAAGAACTTCTGGGTAAAATGGAAGAGAATTCATATGGGAAGCAGTGTACCAAAACTCCAGATTGTATAATAACTCTTTTTATGGTAAACTGGACAAAGTTGAGATAATTAATTGTTTATAGATAACTCACCTATGGAGCTTTTAAAGATGTATTTTAAGAATTATCTTTAGAATGCTTTCTCTACTGTTGAAAACAGCAAACACTTAACCAATACAGAATTTGTACCATGGCTGCAAAGCAGAGAACTTACCTAAAAGTTTCACTTGTCCAGAGCTAAGCAAATTTGGATCATCTTCTCTGACATTCCTAAGGGATTCATGAACCAATTCTTCTATGTGCTCAATGCCTACTGCCTTGCCCGTGGGGCCCACCTATAAAAGGAGTTATGTATACTTGAAGCTCTGTTACTACTTCAAATTCATTATTATAGAGAAAATAGAATTCATTAATAAAGATTCATTAATTCTAAATAGAATTTAGAATTTTTTTAACATTGCCTGATTATGTAATTGGCAATTACACTCATAGCCAATTTATTTGCAACTATCTCCAGAACTGCATCTCATTCTTTTCTTCCAGTTCCAATGGGGGGAAAAATTGCGTGATTCTTATGAATGTGGAGTCCTTGGGGTTCTCTGAGCTTGGTTCTTTTCTTGCAAATGTTCCATTACCCGGCTAGGTAACATCTTCAGTACTAAAATGAGCTGGGGTTTGCTTTCTATGTATGTGCTGTGGCCTGCCTTGCCAGTGCTGGTGAGGGTGGGTTTTTTTTTGTTTATGAATGTGACCTCAGAACTAAATCCCACCGTATTCAGTGGAACCAGGAGGGCCTTTGCACAATTTCATATTGTGCACCAGTTGCCCCCATGCCTAGATCAAGGGGCCTTACCGTCACTCATGCGTTGGTCACCTCCCAGCTGAACTGCTGCAATGTGCTGTACATGGGGCTGCCCTTGAAGAGCATCTGGAAACTTTCGCTGGTGCAGAATGCGGTGGCACAGGCAGTTATGTATGTTTCTGGCAGAACACGCATTACACCTCTGCTTCGCAAGCTGCATTGGTTACCAGTTTGTTTCCGGGTCCAATTCAAGGTGCTGCTGTTGACTTTTAAAGCCCTTCATGGCACGGGACTGGGTTATTTGCAGGATCACCTCTTCCTGATTTCATCTGCCTGTCCCACTAGATTTAGCAGAGTGGGTATGTTACAGGTTCCATCTAGGGAGCTACGTTTGGCGGGCCCTAGGTGGTGGGCCTTTTCTGCTGTGGCACCTGAACTGTGGAAACTTCTCCCCCCAGAGGTGAGATTGGCCTCATCACTCCTGAGTTTTTGAAGGTCCCTCAAGACGTGGTTATGTCAGCAGGCCTGGGGACCCCAGAGGACAGGTCAACTAGTGAGGTGGCTCTATTATTAACATCCCTTCACCTATTATTTTCTTTTTCTGTATTTAGTTCTGTTTTTATAGTGGTTAATGTTTTTAATAATTACTATATAATGGTTTTATGTAATGATTGTTTATATATTAATTGTTTTATTGGATTGTTGTATGCCACCTAGAGTCACTTTTTGTGAGATGGGTGGCCATATAAATTTGATTGATTGATTGATAGATAGATAGTACACTCAGTTTTGGTTCCTCTCTTTGTAGTGCTAAAACTTATATGGTCTGATAGTAGTGGAATAATTAAAAAGAATTTTCTATGGGAGATTTGTACACACACACACACACACACACACGGGTGGAACTGAAATTCGTGTTAGTATTTCCCATGTAATTTACTCAAATTTTAAACTTTGGAATAGCTGGACAGCAGTAGCACCAGATACATCAACTTTACAGAATATTGACTGTAAAAAAAGGCTCACAGGTGTGCCTTCTTACCTGTAGCAAGAAGAAAAGTAGATATATTTTTGTTACAGAGTGCTACATTTTGCTTACCATCCTAGCAAAACAAGCAGTAAGATATCCACTTCCTGATCCTACATCCAATGCCTTCGCTCCTTCCACTAGATGGTCCTTCAGTAACTCAAGAGCATGAGCATGCTGTAGAAACAACCGTAACAGTACACATTTTCCAGGTAACTCTTTTCACAGTCTGTACTTCAGTCTTCCCAGCCTGGTATCTTCAGATGAGATGGATGACAATTTCCATCACATCTAAATCACCAGCCATGCTGGGCTGAGAAAGGAAGAGACTGCAGTCCAATACATTTGGATGGCAGCAAGGTGGAAATAACCACAACAACCCTTCATCTCTGCTCCAGTTTTACCATATTCTAGTACCATTTTTCTTTCAAGCAAAAGAACAAACAAGTTAGCTCCAACCAACTTAACCTTAGCAGATATTTAATCTGAGAGATTCCTATAGCTAGGTTATAATTTCATGAATGATCAAAGTAGAGATTTGTATTGATTTGTGTCACACATCTCAATGTGAGATGTATCAATGTGGAGCACAAAGTTGTCCAGAAGATGTGGATTAATAATGATGTACGTAAGACATGAGGAAGGGTCTCATAGCTCAGTGGTAGGGTATATGGATAAAGCTCTAGGTCAAATCATCTGGCACTTTCTGTAGTTATAAGTTCATGATAAATAAAACTCCTTTTTCTCCTATTACAAAGAATCTCATATAGCAATACCAGAGTAAGCAGTATGGAAGTAAATTAATAGGCTAATAATGCAAAGCTATGAAGCCTTACATTTGTGGTCTGCTTTACTGAGTAAACACCTTCAATGCAAGAGTGTCCTCATATACTGTTTAATGTAAAAATGTGTCTTACCATGTGAGGTGCACTGATGGTAGCCTTGTATCCTTTCAATACAAGAGTGTCCTCATATACTGTTTAATGTAAAAATGTGTCTTACCATGTGAGGTGCACTGATGGTAGCCTTGTATCCTGAAAGAAAATGATAAATAAGGTGGGTTTTCCCCCATGTTAAGAACTATAATTCAAGCAATAATACAAAACCTTCACTTTCTCAATCCTCCCAGGCAATTAAAAGTGTAAGATAGTGAGTAACCTTTTAGTGCAGGTATAACAGTTTTTAAGTTGGTGAGGGCTGCAGAGGGCAGGATTTTTGCTGCTGTTGTTGTTTTTGTTTTCCTAGGCTTTTCACAGAATCATATTTGGGGACTTCTTTTTAAAAACTCTTTGAAAGGTCCACGGTACTATTGTATGTTTTTCACCTCAAGCTGGCAGGTAATCATGCCACTGATCTTTAGCAGTGAGGTTCAGAATCAGCTCTGGGGCTGCCAAAAGTAGATTTAGGAAACCATATGGCCACTGCTACATTAAGGTTCATGTTTTAAGTCTTCATATTACCTGTAGAATATTTTGGACAAAACCATACTCTTTAGTGGCCTGGGATGTGAGGTTCCAAGCAGGAAAACAACGTATAATGTGGTCTCCGATATATGCAATATTTTTTTATTAACTGACAGTAGTCTGTGATCTTACCAATTGATTGAGGAGAATCCATATATGGAAAATACTTGATATAGTGGGCTCTATCAGTAGCCAGCAACACATCAAAAACACGTTGGGACTTAATCACACCATTTTCTACAGGAACAGAGAAGTGAATACAAATTGATTATTATACAATATAAAGTTCATGTGTGTCACAAAATGGAGACCAGCTCAGACCAGCAACAGGTCAGATATCGATCATATTCCTTGGTATATACCTTATGAATGTTAGGTTTTACAAAAAGCTAAGAAAACTGAATTATTTTCTTAGTTAGAAGTCAAACTAAGAACATAATTTAGTTTTCTTAGCTTCTTGTAAAACCTAACATCTATCAGGTATATACCAAGGAATATGATCTATATCTGAAATCCAGTATCCTGAAACTTCTATAATTCAGCTTCAAGGGTTTTCCCTCTATTTCGTAATATTAGAACTAGCATAAAAAGAAAATTCTTTTTGTGTGCAGCAAATAAATAACGAATTCACAAGACATAGCAACGACCATCAACTCGCATCATTTAACCAAATTAAGTAAGTCAATGGATAATAAAGCAATCAATGCCATTATTTATGATAGCTAGATATTATCACCAGCACTTTATGCAGTGTGTCTTCAACACTAATTGTGAGGAAACACAAAATCCCATCACCATCTATTTGACCACTGCAAGTAAAGAAAAGCAAAATAGGAAAGCCTTTTGCCTACCTAGTTGGGACCTTCCGTCCTTAAAAAAAAAGGGGTGGGCGAAGAGCCATACATCTTAGAATGGAAGTGGTGGATTGTCTGCCACTTAACTCCCCCTAGTCTATTTAAGATTTCAGTGTTGCACTGTTTCATCTAATATAATTGTTAAAAGACATTTATTTGTCAAATGTTCAATGCCACCAGAATTGTTAATTATCAAAAATGTCCAGGTATTTCAGCAGCTTTTTAGAAGTCTGTCCTGAATGTAAGCTGCTGTTTGTACTCACTATACAGATTGTTGAGCAGTTCGGCATGTGTCTTCCCAGTTGAGGTCCAAGCCATGGTTCTAGTCGGCAGTAGTCCCATTAGCAAAACAGAAAAAGGCAGCAAATAGCTCATCGCACAAAAATGTACCGGGGCTCCCAATCTTCCCTAGCCAGTCACAGTGGGAAAAAAAGGAGAGGAAACAAAAGATTTTTTAAATAAAACTTTGTAGAAACCAAATCCTACATAAGCCAGAAAGCAGCCGAGATTAAGAATAGATGCCCAGAGGCATGCATAAATAATAGAAAACACATTTGCTGCTAAAGTTTAGTGTTAGTAGACAGTTTCACATTGCCTGAGGGAGACTGGTAATGAATTCAGAAGCTTGTTCACTTGTAACCCTTTGGCTGGTAATAACAACAGAATAATCCGACTGAATTTTGGATTTTGCATCACAGTAATAAAAGACCTTTAGCACCATTTCACTTCAGCAAGTGTTGAACAGTTTTATAAATGCAACCAGATTATTTTACACCAAGCAGCCATGGGAGATCATTTGAAAGTTCTAGGTAGTCATGAACACCCACAGACCCCCCAAAATCATGCTGTATTTGAACAGAAACAATTCAGCTGCCTTTCTGCTTCAGGTTCCAAACTCTGCTCAAATTACTCCTCTTACGTTGATCTGGTTTAGGAGCCCGAATGCTGCTGGCACCCCTTCCCTCATGAGAGAGGCATGTGAGCCTTTCTCAGTCTTCCCCCAGCACAGCAGAGGATGCTTCAGAGAGGATCCTTCCAGGGTGGCTTTCCTTTGCAACTTCCTCTCCAGGAAATTTCATCTGCTGCGCTTGATGGTATCCTTTAGACCAGTGTTTCTCAAACTCGGCAACTTTAAGATGGGTGGATTTCAACTCCCA